CACAACAGCTTCCTTTCTTCTATAAATAGAGGAGAATTCAGTTCATTATGTACATAAATTTGAAGTCAGAATAATATATCAGTTTCTCTCTATACTTGTCTTTACTTTACAGTCTTTATTTTATAACACCAACGAATAAAACAACATGATTTATACAGATACACGTACTTTATATTTTTTTGTGTGAAAATGGATAAGGTAGGAATGTGAAAATATTTTTAACATATTATATGGTTTTGAAGATTGCAATTATCTTTAGGACATATACATAATCTTCCGAGTTGAAAAAAATCAATGAATAAAAAATTATTCCTCCTATAGTTTTCTTTTTTAAATGTTAACAATAGTTAACATGACATTAATTTTGAGACGAAAGGAGTATCAACAATTATCAAATGTCACCATGTCAGAACCAAAATTGAAATAATAAAGACATGAATATTGAAATTTAAAACTCAAGTTTTTACGAGCACATTTTATGACAGCATTACTTTTTTCTCAGGCTAATAAAAAGCCAGATGAGAATTCCAAAGAATAAGACAAGAGCTATTTTAGAGTCTCAATTGGATTTACACACTTACCCACAAAAACAAAATTATCTAGCCTTACCTATTTATTTATTTTTTTTACCCATCAAATTAATTACATGTCTTACCCATAATAGTTTTTGTAGGGAATTTTCTCTTTTTTCTCCAATTCTTTTTTATTTTTATGCTTCTTTTCTTTTTTCCTTTCTTTTCTCCTTTTCTTTTTTCTCGTTTTCTTCTTCTTCTTTTTTTCTTTTTTTCTCTTTTATTCATTTATTTTTGCCCAAATCGTATTATTGTTATTTTTATCATAGCTTATTTCACACTCAATTTTAACTCCTTCTTTATTTTATTTTTTTTTATTTTTTGTTCCTTTTCTAATTTTATTTAACTTTTTTATATTCTTTTTCTCTTGATAATCTAATTTCATTTACTGTTTTCACTATTTTTTATTATTTATTTTTTATACAATAAGAAAAAATAACTGATATAGTAAATATTTGTTCACCTTTTTTTAATATAACTAGTATAATATACTTTTTGTCTTTTTTCTCATTTTTTAAATTCAATTATTAAACTGAAATAATATCAGTTGTCACTTGATATAATTCACTGAATATCACACTGATTGCTGCTGAGCACCATAAATTACATAATCAGATTTTAAGAATCAACACGTGATTGTCATGCAAACCTTGATCCTGTTCCCTACAAATATCAGTATACACTCTACCATTAGTAGTAACACAACCATCTATGGAGCAAGAAAACATAATCTACGGCCACCAAATCTCCATATATACTAGTTAGAATAAAAATAATAATAAAATATTGAAAAATGCAATAAAAATATAAGTAGCAAAAAAGATTTCTAGTACCATATGATACCAATATGGTATACATGTATACCAACAAAGTATATGATTGCTCTAGAATATTGCTACAACTATTTGCGACTTTACTACTGTACCAAAACATTAAAGGATGCAACAAAAGTATGAGAAAATTACATGCTCGCATTGCAAGCTAAATATTCGCAAAGCAACTTGCTCATTTCGTATACTAGCAGGGTATATAGTTGTACGGGGTCGTTCCAACAATTGCCTATAACTATAAAAACTATTACATAATACACATAATCTATGTCCGTCGGCACAAAAAAAATTCAGCACTGCAAATCATGTTCATATAAACAATTTCAGAATAGAATTCATTTAAAAATGTAGCTAAAACAACCAAAAAAAGTTCAAACTACCATATAATACCAATATGGCATATAACTAATACCAACATGGCATACAGTTTTACTAGTTAATTTCCGGCAACTATATGACTATACTACTATTACATAACACACATGCATACAGAGAAAAAAAAATTGTGTGCCACATATTAATATAATAAAGTATTTCAAGATATTGTACTATATTACTATTATTAAAAAAAAATGAAATAGTCTACCAATTAAATGCAGCTAATACACTAAAAATGATTCAACTAGCATATGATACCAATATAGTATATAGCTATACTAATAGGGTATAGAGTTGTACCGGGTCGTTCCAACAACTGCATATAAATATAAAAACTATTACATAATACACAAAATCTATGTCCATAGGTACAAAAAAATGCAACACAGCAAAACTTGATCATATAAATCATTTCATAATATAATTCACTTAAAAATGCAGGTAAAATAACCAAAATTATATTTCAACTACCATATGATACAAATATGACATATAATTATACCAATAAGGTATACAGTTCTACTAATTAATTTCAGGCAACTATTTATGACTATACTTCTATTACATAATACACATGCATAAAGAGAAAAATCAAAAAATAGTGTACCACATATTAATATAATAATATATTTTAAGATATTGTACTATAATACTATTATATAAAACAAATGCATAAAGAAAAAATCAAAATGATTAGATAATACACATTCATAAAGGAAAATTAAAAAAATTCAAGATAATGTACTGTTATACTCTTACTAAAGAAAAATCAAATAGTGCACCAATTAAATGTAGCTAATACAACCAAAAAATATTTCAGCTAACATATGATACCAGTATAATATATAGCTATACCAACAGGGTATACAATTGTACGTAAAGAGTTTAAATTTTTTTTTAATTCAATTATTAAACTGAAATAATATCAGTTGTCAATAAAATTTTCAACTAATTCAAAAAGGATCAAATTGAAATAGTATATTATTACATTATATAGTATACTATAACAACATACTGTTGGAATAAACTGTATACCAAAATATTATATAGTATGTCATTTTGGTATATAGTACAAATTCTTCTTCTCCAATTCAACTCCGCTTTAACCCAAATTTTAAAAAATTACTGAAAATCTCCACCATGAAAACGTCGTCTAAAATCTGAAAAATGGTCCAATTATAACGGTATAATGTTGTAGCATATTATATACTATTGTAGTATATTGTATATTATTACGGTATACTATTACAGTATATTATATACTATTATAGTATATTATTGTAGAAATACTATTGTATGTACTGCTAAATTATATCGTAGTAGTAAACTGAATAATATATCAATAGGCTTTATAGTGTATTATATACTGTAACGATATATTGTTGGGTAATTATGTTTCTTCTTCAAATTAAAAAGCTCTAAGCTCAACAATGGAAGGTCTTCAAAAATTTAATTCCAATAATCACCTCAAATGAGCTCCAAATGCAGCCAAATTTCAGCATAAACTTCCCAAAGGTACTATAGACAACATGTTGTAACACCCACTTTGAATCAAATAACAAAATCTTCAAGTTGATAATTCATATTAAAAAGTTTCAAGCTCAACAATGGTGGGTCTTTAAATACATATAATAATAAGATTTGGAATTTTGATAAAAGACTTTTACAATACCCATTTCAGATACCACTTAAAACAGGTAAAAATTTATCATTGTCCCTTAATCGAGAACCACCATGGCTTCGCCAGTCTTTTATATATATATATATATATATATATTACAAAAAGATGACGAGCAACCGTGATCATATAATACTGCCAGAGAGAATCATTGAAGAAACAACCCAAGATGAGGTTCCTTTGCAACAACTCATAGGAAAGGAACTTTCTTGCCAGAACTTAAAATAATATGACACCTTAGATTTGGAATCTAGCAGTATACCCCACACCTAAAAGGTCTGCTACCTCTTTAACTAATTTCGGGTCAGTTGATATGATTACAGTCTTGATTAAAACACTCACATAGATTTTAAATGGAGAATTGTTGAAAGGAGGAGAAGCTTAAAAGCTATTGGCTAGTGAATAAACAAGAAGAGTTTGGGTGGAGATGTCTTTTAGGCAAAGGGGACGAGCGAGTAATTCATTCTAGTGGCGTGTGCATTTTTTGTAATTCTTTTGAGAATGGGTAAATACGGGTAATTAGTTTTGGTTGAATAAGCAATTTGCATAATTTTCCCAAAATAAAAAGTTTAAGTTATATAAACGGTTATTGTAATGAATTTTTATATTATTAAGACAAATGTTGTAGTAAGCAGGTCCTCTTATTTTTAATATTATAAGAAAATTAAATATCTTTTAAGTGTTAAAAGATTATTTATATCAGTGTATATACAACTTATAGCGTGTTTGCCCAAGCTTCTACAAAGGTCAAAAGTATTTTTTTTCTTCCGTTTTTTTTTTCAACTTAAAGTGTTTGGCCAAGTTTTTTTTTTTTGGAGGAAAAAGTATTTTTGTGAAGAAGTAGAAGCAGTTTCCGAGAAATAGAAAAAAGTAACTTCCCCAAAAAGCAAAACCAGAAGCAGTTTTGACTTTTCTTTTACTAAAAATACCCTTAACAAAATATAGTATATACCAAAATAACCTTACTTATTTTAAACCTAATACTTAGGATATTAATGTATAAGTATTTTTTCTTATTTTTAGGATAAATTTCTAATATATAGTGACTTGAGGGGTGAATGCTTTTATATTTGTTGAATAAATTTTAATATATTTAAATTATCTTAAAAGAATTAAAGTACTTTTAAATTTTATTTTTATATTTTACTTAAATAAAATAAAAAGATTTAATTATTGCCTTTAATAACAAAATTTTGAGAATATTTACTTATTTATAATATTAACTATTAAGTAAATCTATTCATCTTTTTATTCGTAATTTGATCCTTAAAAAGTATTTTTTGAAAAGTTTAGCCAAACATAAATTACTGATCAAAATTTTTTTTTAAATTGATTAGTCAAACACAAATTGTTTCTCTTTAAAATTATTTTTTCGAAAGTACTTTTAAAAAAATATTTATCAAAATAAACAGATTTTTCCGGCCAAACCAAACATGACATTAAACTCAAAACAAACAAAAGTTTTTAGAGAGAAAGTTGTAAGAGAGAGAAATACCACCATGTTGAGACAAAAGTAAAGTGTCACTACCAATACCATTCTGGGTTTTTGAGACATATACTGTCTGAAAAACAGAATAGGGTTTTACTAGTGTTTATTTTTTTACCAGTGGGAAGAAGGGTTTTTGGTCCTTTCTTGAAGTTCATTTTGTGTGAACTTATCAAGTTGTCTAAAGGCCAAAACCTTTCTGGGTCCATTCCATTTTCTTGTATTTAATGCCAGCTTAAATGCAAACAAGAAAAAAGAAAAGTTAGTAGTATATGTAAGCAAATCTTAGGTGTCACATTGTTTCAAAGCTGTAACATTTACTAGAAGAAGAATTAACATGCTGTAAAGCTTGAATCTTTGAAAGGGACTGCTTTCAATTTTTGGTGGCAAATGCTGTTTGCTGTTTGGTAAGAAAAATGCTGAGTTTTTGCCTCATCTGTTAGATCTTTTAAAGTACATCTTATACTTTGTTTCTGTCATTCATTGCCTCTGTTCCGCTTCTGTAGCTAAAAGATTGATCTTTTTCTTAGAAATGTGCTTTTCTTGAATCTTTGTCACTCTTTAAGACAAAGTTGGTTCTGTGGTTTTTCTTAAGTTGAAGGAGGGTAATTGCTGATTTGGGTACTGGGTATTTTTGTGTTGTTTTTAGCTGAAGCTTAGTGGTAGGAGTAGTGGCATTGATATCTTGTTGAGGGAAAGTTGTATTTGGAAACTAGAATATTTCTTAGTGCACTGTGGTGGCTCAAGTGAAGCTTCTTGTGGTGGTAGAATGAAGCTTTCAATTAAGTTCTTGATGTTTTTTGTTCTTTATTTTGGCTCTGCAATGGGGCAGCTTCCATCCCAGGACATATTAGCACTGCTTGAGTTTAAGAAAGGTATAGAGCATGATCCAACAGGGTTTGTGCTTGAATCTTGGAATGAGGAATCCATTGATTTCAATGGGTGCCCTTCTTCTTGGAATGGGATAATGTGTAATGGTGGCAATGTTGCAGCAGTTGTCCTTGACAACTTGGGCTTGTTTGCTGATGTAGATTTGAGTGTGTTTGCTAACCTCACAATGCTTGTGAAGCTCTCAATGGCAAACAATTCAATTGCTGGAAAAATTCCTAACAACATAGGTAACTTCAAGAGCCTTGAGTATCTCGATCTGTCGGGTAATCTATTCGCCTCCTCTTTACCGCCAGACGTTGGAAAACTAGGGAGCTTAAAGAATTTGTCGTTAGCTGGTAATAACTTTTCCGGTCCAATACCGGACACAATTTCAGGGCTCATATCAATCCAATCTTTGGACTTGAGTCACAATTCTTTTTCTGGGCCGCTACCTTCATCTTTGATGAAATTGATAGGCTTGGTATACCTTAATCTATCTGTTAATGGATTCACAAAGAAAATTCCAAAAGGATTTGAGATGATGGAAAATCTTGAAGTGCTTGACTTGCACGGAAATATGCTAGATGGCAATTTGGATCCACAACTCTTGCTGCTTACTACTGCAACTGTTGTTGACTTGAGTGGAAACTTAATAGTGAATTCTGCTTCTCAGCAGCAGAAATTTCTGCCAGGGATATCTGAGTCGGTCAAGTATTTAAATCTTAGCCATAATCAGCTTACTGGCTCACTTGTCAATGAGGCTCAGATATTTGGGAACTTGAATGTTCTGGATTTGAGCTACAATCAGCTGTCAGGGGAATTACCTAGTTTCAACTTTGTTTATGATCTTCAGGTCCTTAGACTTGGCAACAATCAGTTTTCTGGATTTATCCCCAATGATCTTTTGAAAGGAGATGCATTGGTTCTCACCGAGTTGGATTTAAGTGGAAACAACCTCACAGGTAAATTGCAGAGTACATGAATTTTCAAATCCTCCTGTTGTTTTTGTTGCTAGTTGTTGTTAGAACAGTTACTTTACTATTTTTCACAATCTCTTAATTTTGCAGGGTCAACAAGCATGATAACATCGACAACATTGCGCACTCTTAACTTATCCTCCAATGCTCTCTCTGGTGAACTTCCCTTCGTGACTGGAAGTTCTGCGGTGCTTGATCTCTCGAATAATCAGTTCGAAGGTAATCTAACTAGAATGCTTAAATGGGGGAATATTGAATATCTTGACCTCAGCCAAAACCGTTTGAGTGGAAACATCCCTGAGGTTACAGCTCAGTTTCTGCGTTTATATCACCTCAACCTTTCACACAATACCCTAATTGGAACTCTCCCAAAAGTTATCACACAGTTTCCTAAGACCACAGTCCTTGATCTCAGTTTCAACCAGTTGGATGGGCCTCTTCTTACTTCTCTACTAACTTTGCCAACTATTGAAGAACTTCACCTACAAAACAATGCACTTGTTGGAAGCATTGATTTTTCTCCTCCGGCTAGTACTCCTAAGCTTCGTGTTCTTGATCTTTCTCATAATCAGTTCGGTGGTTATTTTCCTGATGGTTTTGGGTCGTTGACTGCGCTTCAAGTACTTGATATAGCAGGAAATAATTTGTCTGGATCTATACCAACTTCCATAGGTAATGTTATTTCTCTTACTTCTTTAGACATTTCAGAGAATCATTTCACTGGTCCACTGCCAAAGAACCTGCCAAACAGCCTCCAAAGCTTAAATGCATCGCTCAATGACTTCTCTGGTGTTGTCCCTGATAATTTGAGAAAATTTCCCTTGTCATCTTTCTACCCAGGCAACTCTGAACTTCAATTTCCAAATCCTCCCTCGGGATCTGGTCAAGCTTCAACAGAAAATCATAGGAACAAGCAACTTAAAACAATTATCAAAGTGGTGATAATAGTTTCTTGTGTGGTTGTTCTTGTTATTGTAATCTTGCTCGCCATTTTTATATACTTACGGGCACCAAGGAAGCCTCAGGCACAGGTTACGGACAAAGATGTCCGGCGTCATGCTCAATCAACTCCTTCTGCTTTTAGCAGTAGAGAAGGTGCTGGTGGTGTAGTAGTTTCAGCACAGGATGTTGCGACTTCACGGAAAGCATCATCATCAGAAATAATTAGTCCTGATGAGAAAATGACAGCTATAACTGGTTTCTCCCCTTCAAAAGCCAGTCATTTCACTTGGTCACCAGAGTCCGGTGATTCATATACCGCTGAAAGCCTTCCAAGATTGGATGTGAGATCTCCAGATAGTCTGGCAGGAGAGCTGTACTTCCTCGATGATACAATCTCTTTTACGGCCGAGGAACTATCTCGGGCCCCAGCTGAAGTCTTGGGCAGAAGCAGCCATGGGACGTCTTACAGGGCAACTCTGGATAACGGGTTGCTCTTGACTGTGAAATGGCTGAGAGAAGGAGTGGCAAAACAGAGAAAGGATTTCACGAAGGAGGCTAAAAGGTTTGCAAATATTAGGCATCCAAATGTGGTCGGATTAAGAGGTTATTACTGGGGACCCACACAACATGAGAAGCTTATTCTTTCAGATTACATATCTCCTGGAAGTCTAGCAAGTTTTCTCTATGGTAAGCCTTATCTTCCGGCATTCCACTTTCCAGCTCATCTTATGCATGTGGTTCACTATAACATATATAAGTCACAACATGCTTTTAGCCTTTGCTTCTTTGATATTTCTTTGATTTCCCTTTTGTATTTCATGGCAAACAATTTGTTAATTTGATAATATTTTACAGTTCTTGTGGTGCATAAACTTTTCTCAGTCTGCATTAGCATGAAACACATTAAAGCACTTTCAGTATTGGTGTTTCTACCTGCTCAACGTGTCTGTTTCACCGGGTTACTGTTCTTTTGATGGCAAGGCTCCACAAATAACTCTTCATGAAATTTCGTTTTTTTCTCTTAGACAGAGTTATCTTTTCAGATTATGCTAAATTTGGAGCTTTTGTATTTTGTGTTTAATTGCACATACAATTTTTCTTGGTAACTGAATTCCTAATTTCCAAGATTTTAATTGGTACAAATATATTGTCTGTTTTCTGATTCATGGCTTGTGTTGGTAGAGACTACTTTCTGTTTCTTGGATTAGTTTGGTGGAGATTACCTAGAATAGCATACAATTTTTCTTATGTAAATCATAAAAAAAGGATTAATTTTTCATATCATCCCTTTAGCGATCGTTTGGTTGGAAAACAAGTTATCCTATGATTAATTATCCCGGGATTAGTTATCCCACCCTCCCATGGGGATAATAAAACACTATAATCCCGGGATTAGTTATACCACGATTTTATCCCAATTAAACGTGGGATAGACTCATCTCAAATTTAATCCCGGGATTAATTATCCCTTATCCCTCGTACCAAACGAGCCCTTAGAAACAGATGACTTTGTTGTAGGTTCTCTACTGCTTGGTATGCTTCTTGTATACAAAATATTTTTTCCCACATTAATGAATTTACATCAAAAGAAAAACAGATAACTTTGTCCTGGTAACAATTTATTGTTTTTAGTTTGCATAGTTTATGGTTTCTCAATATACATCTTTAATGTCCCAACTACGTGGGATTACACTGGGTATCTTCTTCTTGTTGTTGTTGTTTAATATACATCTTTAATGTACGGTGCCTTTGCAGATCGTCCTGGAAGAAAAGGTCCACCCCTAACCTGGCCCCTAAGACTCAAAATATCAGTTGATATTGCACGTGGCCTGAATTATCTCCATTTTGACCGCGAGGTTCCGCATGGAAACCTTAAAGCTTCCAACGTCTTGTTGGATGGTCCTGATCTTAATGCACGAGTTGCTGATTACTGCCTTCACCGCCTTATGACTCAAGCGGGGACAATAGAACAGATTCTTGATGCTGGAGTGTTGGGTTATCGTGCACCAGAGTTGGCCGCATCCAAGAAACCACTGCCTTCCTTCAAATCAGATGTATATGCGTTTGGCGTCATTTTGTTGGAGCTCATGACTGGGAAATGTGCAGGTGATGTGGTTTCAGGTGAAGATGGGGGAGTGGACTTGACCGACTGGGTAAGGTTGAAGGTGGCAGAAGGTCGAGGGTCGGATTGTTTTGATAATGCATTGTCAGCTGAGATGGGAAATCCAGTAATGGAGAAGCAAATGAAGGAGGTTCTTGCAATAGCTCTTCGGTGCATACGTTCTGTATCCGAGAGGCCAGGTATTAAGACTGTATATGAGGACCTTTCATCTATATAGTTTGCTTATTTTGGTTTGGTGAACAGATGTTTGGCTCTGCTTTTGGGAATCAAATAGCTCATTGACTTCCCTTTGAATTGTAGAATTAGGAAGTTTAGTGTGTGAATGGGCTAGTTTTATTAACCATTGTTTGTTGTAAATTAGGGACATATTTAAAATGTATACAACTTTTTCTCCCCTTTTTGCTGAAAGATTACACCTTTACTTTACGTTGACTTTTCCAAGTACGTTGACTTTTCTAGGAAAGGGTAATAATTGAGGTCTAAAATCTTAGTTCAGTTGATTGCGCAAATCACTCTTAGAAGGTTGACGTTAATATTTTCGGTAGGAATTTAAGTTCTATGCTTTAGTGGTATATAAAAGTTTTCTAAACATAATCAGGTTACTTAAAAGATACTAATTAATTAGAGGTGACTCTTTGTAATTGGTATCAGTTGTTAATCTGACTGAAAAAGGTGTTACCTGCCCTAACACGTTAAACTACCTTGGTGGTGTAAAAATCTTTATGTTGTCGGTGTACTGTAACTATCTTTTGTAGTGCGCCAAATTTTTTAGTTTATCTTTATCCCCAAAAAAGAACCATTTTTATATTTAAAAATAATTTAAATTTAACTTTTCTATTTTATATTTACTGACAAGGTGGGTTGCTGTGATGGTAAGCAACCTCCACTTCCAACCAAAAGGTTGTGAGTTCGAGTCACCCCAAGAGCAAGGTGGGGAGTTCTTGGAGGGAAGGATACCGATGGTCTATTGGAAACAGCATCTCTACCTCAGGGTAGGGGTAAGGTCTGCGTACACACATGTTTTTTTGGTCACAGAAATAAGTTAATGACATGCTCAAGATTATAAGTTCTAAAAGTTATTTTTTTCTTGAACTCTAAACTTAATCAAACAGTTCCACATAAAAATAAAGCGGATAGAGTAATAAGTTTCTTTACTTATCAAAGAAAACAAGTTGGAAAATTGCCGTTTCTATCATCTTTCGCCTCAACCATGACTCCCTTAATTTCTCAACTATATGCAAAAATGTGAAACAATTTTCGGCTGTTTTAGCCAAAATTTTAGATTTCTTACGTAAAAAAATGTTACTATCATTGTTAAGTGTATAAATTCACAAATGCCAAATTATATGTGAAGTTGCCTCAGCGCTAAAAGGAGTCTCCTAAAGTAAAGCCAAATGCAAGGAAATCACGAGGAGAAACAGCGTTTCAAATCACGAGGAGAAACAGCGTTTCTTTATCTTATCTGCAAAGCTAACACTAAAAGGAATCTTAACTTTAGCTTCTTTTTTGCTCAGAATAAAAAATTGAATGAGATTAATGTGCTGATTTTCTGTCCATATTTGAATTTACTTATTACTTGAAGGAGTGGTAGAAGATTTACCATAATTAATTTTACTTTTCCTAAAAGTATAGATCTCTTTCATATTTGGCATATCTTTTTCTTGGAGGAAAAGCTTTAGAGATCTATAAATTGAAGATCTTTCTCCTCACACAATAGCATCCACAATGTAGGGGAGATTATTCTCTTGATAATTTTTTTGCTTTATATAGTTTTCTCATGTGTAGTTCAATTGATCAAATTATATTTTAATATATTTTTCTTTGTTGTCTGATTTATCGTTAATTAAAGTTTATTTTGTTAGCTTCTGCATGACGCCTTGTTATTTCGATCCCAAATGATGACAGAACCGAGAATCAAAGATCTGATAGATATTAATTGTCTGATCAACTGCGTCACTTTAGTATAAGACTTTTTAAAGGAGTTTATAACTATCACCCTTCTCTTAGAACTTTTGTTTTGATTCTTTCACATAAATCTGATAAGTTCGCTTTCTCGCTCGTAAGTTCACTTTCTTTTTTATCAGCTTTTGGCGTAATTATAAGTTCGCTTTTCACAACTATTTCTCTTCCGTTCTGTTCATATGTTATACATGCGAGAGAGTGTTTAAAAAAAAAAATACATCAGTTTCCCATGTTGATTGTACAAGACTTTCGATCCACTTCTTGGCCTTTCGAGACTCGAAGTATATTGTTCACCTGTTGAGCATAGTATCACTTTGTTCTCAGCCTATTGAACCTCCTTATAAAAACAATTAAAAAGCGTCAAGCCAAAAGAAAATTAAGGAAAAAATTATTTATTTTAATTGTTTGGTACGAGAGAATATTACTATTAGAGAATGTTGCAATGCATGTACCCAGAGGTGGATCCAGGATTCGAAGGTTGCGGGTGCCACCATGTTATGCATACAGTATACATGTCAGTAGCTATTAGGAATAATGGGTCGGTTCGCTTAGTTTTTGGTTAATTTGAATAGGCGTTTCATTCACAAAGCAAATAAGTTCGATTTTAGTTTAAATTTTTTACGCTTAATTTAAACACATTCTAAATAAAAATGCAAAAAAAAAAAAAAAATTTCATGAAAGAGCGACTCCAATATAAATATTTGCTTAAAGAGTAGCTTAACTACACTATATATTCTTTGTTTGACTAGATTAATTTACTTGTATTGTTCTTTGTTTATTTTTCCATCTTAATTGTTGAGTTATATGACAATTATTTTCAAAGAAAAACCTTCAACATTCAACATATGATATTCGACTCAAAACGACTATCAATCAAGCCTTTTAATTTTTTTTCAAAACCCAATAGAAGATATTACTCAAATTATATTCCAATATATACATTAATATCGTTTCATTAAAAATAAAAAAAATTATATGCTAATTAAAATCAATTCAAATTACCTATAGAAAACAATTGTTCATAAAGTAAGGTATAATGATAGAAACAAAATGAGGACTGAAAGTTAAAAAAATGAAGAAGAGAGACTTAGCAAGTAATAAAAGGAAGAAAATGAGGGAAAGAGCCGAAAAAGAAGGAAAAGAGGTGAGGCCCTAGGCTCAACTGAAAATAAAGGAAATCTTAATAAGTAGAAAAAATGGGAATCGAACTTGCATTCATGAGGCCAAAGAAAGCCTCCAAAGGGAAGACTAAACCAATGGCACCCGCTTCCACTTTGTGACTTTGGGGTGCCACTCTATCCATATATACGTTTTTTCACAAAGATATTATGTACATAGTAAGAATTTTAGCGAAACGAGCGGGTGCCGTGATACCCCTACCTCATAAGGTATCCGCCCCTGCATGTACCAACCTTGGAAGTTCTCGATCGCTAATAATTAAACTTGAACGAAAACCTATCCTCCACCAAATCCTAAAGAAGAAAATTCAAGAATTATGGAAAGTTGACAAAAACTTTCCCCTAATCGATTTAGGAGCGGACTATTTTATTGTAAAATTCCAAAAGGAAGAGAGCATGAACTCTGCTCTACAAAATGGTCGATCGATGGTTCATCTTTGGCCACTTTCTTCAGCCCAACGGTGGGAACCTAACTTTGTTTCATCGGAAGCCAAACAGACCTATACAGCAATATATATGTGTTCGATCGCCTGAATTCTACGATGAAATCATTCTACAAAAAATTGGTAATATAATTGGCAAACTACTAAGGATAGAGGCATGCACACCAGCTACACTTAGAGCCAGGGCGTTCTCGTAGGTCGTGTGTTGAATTACCACTCGACCAACCTGTGGTACCATTCATTTTTATTAGAGCTTATAAGCAACAAATAGTCTATGAAGGAGAAAAATGTGCAAGTCTTGTGGGAGATTGGGCCATACAACTGCCCAATGTGGGGCCACCAAACCAGCAAAAGAGAAAACTCAAAATGCTCCAATAGGAGCATCAACCTACTTCTCTTCACAATAATGAGGAGGGCTGGCAAATAGTGGTATTGGCTATAGAGGCAGGTATAAATATTAAAAGTATTTAATGCATCCAAAAGTAAGTATCTCGATCATTACTCAAAAGCTTAAATATGTCAGCAAAGATTCTTCTTCTTCATCTATTATTCCTGAAAGAAAGTAATCTTAGCTAATAAAACAAAATCTATGAGCGATAGAAGCTTACAATCCAAAAACTGCTCTTCAGTAATGGAGGAAGAGCATAAGGTTTTGGAAAATACCACTCAAGAAACTAATTCAAAAATTAATTTGATACACTCCCATAGGAAATAATGACACGTCTAATGATAATGTGGCCACCAAAGCTACTGACAAATCAGACGTATGCGAGGGATAATTACCATGCTTCCAACTTGGTTATCAACAAGAATCCCTCTACCATTCCTAATAACTTCTCTAGTATTTGCTGATCAGCTAATCCATCATTATGCCTTAACATATATAATGTCTGATCATCATGCACACTATTGTCCACTCAAAACCTCTCCATTAAACAAATGGCTTCGTCCACTAACCATGTGCCAGAGATTAAGCATGCAAAATCTCTTACGCTAACCCACCCCAAACCCATGCAAATAGATGCAACCATTCCTTACTCTACTAGTGCCTCTTCTTTACATGAGTTTCATACCACAACCAACAATGCTGAGAATTCCTCTAACTCATCGACGGAAATTTTGATTAATCCAAATACTCCGTACCAACGTCTCCAAAACATGGCCAACCTCCCCCCTCTTCCAAAACAACTACCAAACCTACCAGTGATATATGCTCAACCACCCATGCCTCAGCCTCAGGATCACCAACCACTATCATGGATAGAGGGGAGGGCACTTTGCTTCAATGTCACAATCAATAGTCAGGAGAGTGTGATCCTAGTTCAAAACTCACAATGCCTAGCTCAACTAGTGTCCGAGGGCTTACACCTAGCCATGAGAAACTACATGAACTATGTTTGGGTGAACAATATACTACACCTACTGGCTCCATCCATGAACCTCAACTTGGTTCAGGAGATGAGAGTACAATGGAACCTCCGTCCATATTTCAACCCTGTCCCTATCCTACCACAGAACCTATAGCTAGGTCTGAATCTGCCTTTTCCCCTCCAGAAGCACTGACAGCTCTGAATCCCATACTCATGCAATGGAAAATTTTGCATCCTTAGGTGCAAAACCAGAACCACAACATTGTAGGACAAATGGGGAACCGGAATCCAGTTGTGCCAGTAGAGACAAACAAAGGCAATCGGGTAGAAGAAGAAATGAACGAGCATATCAACCCAGTGGGAGAGTCAATGGAAGAATTATCAAATCTAGTCGAAGTAAAAGTCTTTCTATTTAGGGAGATACAGAAGAAAAGACATATTCTTGCCTGTCCAAATACGTTCTACAAGTGTGC